TTTTTTGTTTGTTTTGTTTTGTTTCAAATACTTCGTCCTGAAATTCTGTTCGTTCCAATGCTTTACTTCCCGTCCTGTGGCTCGATGACAGTGACAAGGTGGGCCAGTCAACGTGCTTGCCTACTGCCCAGCAGAAGTAGGTGTTTGAGGAATAGTAGGAAGCCGAACCCCAGCACCCTCTTCTCTCTACAGAGTGACACGTTACTGTCAGCTCTCATCAGACCTGAAGTTGTCTAGGTTGTTCCTTTGTCTAATTTCATGAGGAGAAGAACATATACTAATCTACTTCAGTTTAATGCAGAGGTAGGTCACACAGGCTTGTTTAAAAAATAAATATCCACTTAGGAGGCAATTCCTATGTTCCCTGCAGGTGATGCTGCCTCTTTGTGTCACTGCGCGGCAGATGCAGCGCTTCGATGAGCTCTGTGGCGCTGCTCTGGCGGCGTGGGGCGTGCCTGCAACAGCGGCCTCTGCAGTGCACCGGGGGATGTCTAGGGGCCCAGAGGCATCCCCACGGCACTGAGGCACAGGCCTCCAGGCTGCTGTCGAGGGCTGGGAGTTTCTTACCTTTGCACTCAGAACTCTCCTGGAAAGTTCAAGTGACCGCGGGCTCCTTCCATGCCAGGCACTTTGCATGCATGCACTGTGCCTGTGGGCACAGCTTCAAGGGATGTAAGCTGTGGGCAGAACAGCGGGGCCTCACAGCCGCAGAAAACAATTCAAAAGCAAGAGCTGACTGCAGGTGGGTGTGGTTTGAATTGCCTGTGAAAAACAGCAACAAAAAGAGAACGAGTGATCGGGAGAAGAACATATCATAGGAACAAGCAACGTTTAGAGATGAGGCTCATGAGGTGCTTTTTATGGAGTTTTGACCATAAAGTTAATGTCTCAAAAGGGTGTATTTCCCCCAAATAGTTGATTAACAATAAGTTAAGAAAGCCAGTGACTATTCCCTCCCCATTGTGGCTTTTTATTAACATCATTTATTCAGAAGATTCGGTCTTAGGCCTTCTTCTTGTGAAATGAAAATGGAGTTGCATTTCAGTCCATTGTGTCATAGACGGATTTTATTTTGTTCATCCTCAGTCCTTTACTGTATTTTTAGCTACTGAAGAGATTAGGCATGGGCCATGTGGGCCTGAGAGAACATTCACTTGCAAAAAGCTTTCCCCAGCCTCGCCCGCATCCTGATGCCAAGGTTGTGTGCACAGTTCCCC